TTTTTTTTTTTTTTTTTTTTTTTTTTTTTGGTGCTGGGGATTGAACTCGGTTCCTTGCGCTTGCAAGGCAGGCCACCGAACCGCTGAGCTAAATCCCTGGCCCATCATTTACCTTTTTAAAATGTATTTATCTCCCTGATTATTCAAGACCAGGAAGTAGTATTTTGTTTGACTGACAACAACCTTAAGTGTAAGTAGTATTAGAGCATATACTTCACTTGTGTATATCAGAAATCACACAATATGTTTTAAACACTTATGCATTCTGATGAGATGATTTCCTGACAAAATAGCCATGGTATAGGCCTGCCAAGTAATCACCAAAAACAATTGCTCACAGTTAAAGTTCCAAAACATCTAGCTGCCAAGGATGATATTTTTGTGAGGAATAATTTATTTTTATCTTTTCAGTGATTATAACCATTGGTTTGGGGGTGGGATGGAAGCCTCTGGAAAAGCCATGGATTCAAAGTAGAGGATGTCAACATCATACGTAATACTGTGTGTGTGTGTTTTACGTGGCATGTGAATTCAAGTTACGTGAGGACTTAAGTTACGTGAGATTATTTGTGATTGACTTGGTAAGGTGATGGGAAAGCTCTTGGAGAATTACTGAGTAGAAATGCTTCAGAACAAGCCAAGTGATCTTAGTTTCTTGACTTTAGGATCCCTAATGCATATGCAAAATGTAAAATATTCAGTTCTTATTTGACTAGGCAAAATTTGGTCACAGATCAGCTCAGGTAATTTGAAAACATAAGCTTATGGTACCAAGAGATCTAGATATGATATCCATTTTCTGGGTAAGAAGTATTACTTTTCATTTGAATTCAGAAACAAAAATACTAAGGGGACTGTTGGATAAGACTGAGGAGGCAATGTTTTGCCCTGAGACACCAATATACATCAATGAAGCTTTCGATAACAGGGGCTGTAATTGAGTATCTGCCCCCAAATTTCAAACTCCACTACGGGGCCCCCTACTATACAGTGATTAATGAGAACATGAAGAATTGTTGCTGTAATGGGCTCTCATAGTTTGTTTACGTGTGCCCATCCTCCAAGAGACAAATGAAATAATCGGTTGGACACTTCCATGTGTCTACCAAATCAAATTTGAATGTTCTACAATTTCAACAATACTCACAGGGATTGAAGGCTTCGCAGATTCTGTAGTGCTTCTGCGGGTACCTGTCTCAGCTGATTATTCTGCAGCATACTGAATATTAAAACAAATAAAGATGTTAAAGAAAATTAACAATAACCGACTATAATATAGCAGTGTCATGCATTGTTCCAGGGGTAAGAAACATAGGATAATATCAAAGTCTTGGTTCCCATGGAGCTTATATTTCTTTAGGGATTACAGATAACTAAAACTAAACAAATGAATATATAACAGAAGATAAGTGGAAGTCCTAAGGATAGAAAGCAAGACATAGATTTGGGATAGATGGTAAAGAGTTACTGAGTAAGCAGGAAGAGTGAGTGCAAAAGACCTGAGGCTATAACTTGCTTGATCTGTTAAAGAAGCAGCAAATAATCAGTAAGGGCTGAAGAGGAAGGAGTAAGGGCAAGACGATGAGACAAAGAGGGAGGACCTGAGACCATTTCCATTGCAAGTGACGATAAAGTTTTATTTTAAGTGTGAGGAGAAACCTCTATCAAGAGATTTAATTAGAAAAGTGATTTGGTCTCATATATGTTTTTTCCCCCAGTTTTTTTTTATTAGTAATTGTTTGCAATACATAATGATTCTATTCCTTGTGGGGAGTAGTTATATGTACATAACACATCTTAAGTCTTTCTTCATCCCTCTCCCCTGAATTTCTTGATCATCTTCTCATTTGAGAAAAATTAACCTCCCTACTTCCAATTTTCTATTTTTTATATATTTTAAAGGATCACTATGGTGATTGTGTAGCTAAAATAAAATGCAAATAAAGATAAAAGTAGGAGGCTATTAAAGACTGTCTCTTTTCTTGTATGTGGCCATATTTTGATATGAACTGAATTTTTTTGTGAAATATTTGCACTTTTGTTCTCCTAGGTGACACAGTGTTTTTCAGAAAATGGATACTACAGAATGAAAACACCTGGCAACAATGTAATAAAAATATATCATTGCTAGTGAGAAATAGCATGGAAAAATTCCAATTAGATTTCTTATATTTTGCTACCTTTTACATAAATGTTTATAACATAATAATCTTGCAGCACATTTTTTTCCATACCATTTCATGTTCCGTGTAAGCCTGAGGCAGAAGACTATTTCAGTTCTTTATTACTTTTGAGTAGAGGTTTGCTTTTTTCAAGTAAATGGTATGCATACATTTCTCAGGTTTATATATGTATGCATTATTATTATTATTATCTTTTTTTGGGGGTACCAGGGATTGAACTCGGGTCCTTGCACTTGCAAGGCCGGCCACCGAACCACTGAGCTAAATCCCCAGCCCTTAGAAGACTATTTCAGGAAACAAACTTTAAAGAAATATTTCAACTTACTAGGTTACAAATATACATTTGGACTCCTGAAAGAATTTCCTTCGTCTCTCACTTCCACAATTAAAATGTATTTTTATTGAGGGACTGGTTGATTCAACTCCAGGTATGTCTGACTCCAAAGCTTGATGAGTTTCTCATTGCACCCAACAGTGTTCTCTTAATGAATACTTGCATGAATCCTCAGGTCGTATGGTATATGGAATGCTTAAGTGTGTGAGTTCTCAAATCCTACTTCTTCCTCTTCCTTACCTGGCTTATATAGATGTCCCTCCAAAGGCTCATGTGCTCATAGGTGGGGCTTTTGGGAGGTGACTGGATCATGGAGGCATGACACTCATCAGTGCTAAGTCCACTGATAAGTTTATAGCTAAGTGTGATTTGGGAGGTGAGGCCCTGTTGGAGGGGGTGGGTCACTGGGTGAGGATGTGGCCAGAAGGGTCGCCTCTCCTTGCTCTTGATTGCTCTCTCTGCTTTCCATTCCCATGCCTGGAGCTCTTTCTCTTCTGCCATGTCCCTCTGCTATGCCGCCCTGCCTTGGAGCCAGCTGACTATGGATGGAAACCTCTGTAAATTGAGAGTCGAAATAAACCTTTCCTCCTTAGAGATGGGCCATCAGGTACTGTGTCTCAGCAACAAGAAAGTAATTGATACATTACCCCCAGCCTCATAGAACCTCAGGGAACTCACCCAAGCTCTCCAAACCTTAGTGAAGGGTAGGGAGACCAATCTCATGGGGCTTATTTGATGACTCAAGGAGTGAAAGTACACAGAACATTACTTGCTACATAGTAAACATTCAATAATGGCTGGTCTTTTTTATATACATTAATAAACCATTACTCAAAATTGATGAAATAGTTAGTTGTATCTGTCAGTTGTGGAGGACTTGCATGAGCGAAGTCTTGGTTTCAATCCCAGCATTGCAAACAAACAAAAACCGAACTATCTCCTCCCCCAAACACAAACAAAAACCAATGACACACTGAGATTGCACTGATTCAATCAGAGAAAAAACTGTAATACTTGTGTTCAAACTGTAGGGTTCATTAGAATCCATTGGAAATCTTGTTAGAATATAGCTTGCTGAGTCTTACTCCCTTTCTGCATTCTGGTTCTTTTTGGGTGGGGGCCCAAGAACCTGAATTTCTTTTTTTTCCCCCTCATTGAGTTTATTGGTACATTTTAGGTATACAGTACAGCTACATTCATCATTGGGATCTCCTACCTTTACACGACAGGTCTTGGTTCTCATTTTTTCCCCATATCCCTACCCTCCTTTCACCCCCTCCTCCCTTCTCTATTTACAAAAACTTTTTTTTTCATTTTTTCGTGTAGTTTCTAAGCTGTCATATGATGCCAGTAAGGCTGAGCTGGGCAGCACATGCTGAGAAGCACCCATGCTATGTTACTGCTAATGGAATCTTTTCACCTGAACTTGGGGCCACATTTGGACTTGGAGATAAGGCCTATGCTTTGAGTCTTGGCAAGCAAACCCATTTAACTCCCTTCTTAGAGTTTTATCTGTATAATGGGAATAATATTATATTATGGAAAAGATGTTTGAAGAGTAAAATATGCATGTATTTGTGTTACTTTTGCATATATAAATACAAGCTCATATACCAATAAGATATAAAAATATTTGGAGATCATAAAATTTATGTTTTTCTTATGTCTGGGATTCTATTTTCTAAGAAACATAGTTGTCATTTTTATTCCAGAAGTTTTACTTAACTAATTTCATTGTGTTAAATTTGAATTCAACTAAAATTTTATAAATCAAATGTCTCAAGAATATCGGTTCACTATACATAAGATTAAGTTTTAAAGAGATATCACACTTCTCTTGCAAATTAGGGAATTGAGAAAATTGCAACTTGAATTCCATAATTTGAATAATTTTAACTGAATAGTAAAAGTTTATGTTTTTATTATTTTGTACCTTTCCAAGCAGTTTTATTACCTAATTTTAAGTTAACAAAACTTTTTTTCTGAGTAATTAACTAATTTGTAATAAATTTAAATGATAAGATACAGCTTATGAAATTAACTGGTCTAAACTTTTCAAGTAGTATATTACTGGTACAAAAAAAATGTATCAAATTGTCCTATGTTTTGCTAAATAAACAATGAAACTCTTAAACTACAGTTTTTATAAGGTCCCTGGAAAATTGGAGTAGAGGATAACAGAGGTTTAAATAGTTTTCCTTTACTAAATAGTCTCAGAATTTGTTGCTTTAAATGTCTGCCTTCAGAAAATAGTACTTAAATGAACTTTAATAATGATAACTTTTAAAGCATCACCCCTCCATGTTACCCCCAAGTGACTTAATTTTTCAACTACTAATACCAATAAAATACCAAAAATAAACTTTTAAAAAAATATAATGATCTCTGACCTCTTTCTAAACAAAGAGCTTTTGTTTAATTACTTTCAAATGACAAAACAGGAAAAAGTTATCTCCATTATATTCTTATAAGTCTCCAGTGAATTAATTAGAAATTTCTGTTTTTGCTTGAGATACTTCAGTGGGAGACAAAACAATTAAAGGATTTATAGTACTACAGAGTGCAATTAAAACAGAAAGCATTCACATGGCTGCTAATTTCTTTTGCAAATACTCATTACTGAATACAGAAAATGCAGGCAGAAGGTACCATATCCTGAATATGAGTGTAGGCATAACTTCACTTTTGTCATTAACATATGGATAAGGAAAGAAAATAAACCACTCTATCTAAAGACAAAGGATGACTTCATACTTTATTTCTTTAAAATATTTACTACTTTATACAACATTCCCATGGTTCTCTACCTGTACAATTTTTGAATCCTTTTCTTTTCTTTTTCTTGTTATGATTTGGATCTGCAAAGACCCCAAAAGTCTAATGTGTTGAAGGCTTAGTCACTGGCCTGCGGTGCTGTAGTAGATGATGGAATCTTTAGGAAGTGGGACCTGGTAGAAGGAAGTTGTCACTGGGATGTGCTTTTGAACAGGATATTGGGATCCTGGTCCCTTGCTCCCTCTTCCTCCCTCCTTCTCTCTTTCCTTCCCGTCCTTCCTCACCATCATGAGGTGAGCTTTGCTCTACCATGAGCTCCCTGCCATGATGTTCTGCCTTGACATAGACCCAAAATGATGAGGCCAAGTGACCATTTGATGAAATCTCTGAAAATGGGAGGCAAAATAAATCTTTTATTTGTGTTAAATTGTTATTCTCAGGTATTTTGTCACAGCAATGGGAAGCTGACCAATACCACAATAATCTCAAATATGAGGGATATTTCAGTGCTCATAGTAATAAGATTTTAGATAGAAAACAGGTCTATCCAATGATAGCTGTTGTCAACTTCATTCTCTATCTTAATGGACTGGATCCCTATTTTTCTCTTCTTTTACCATATTTTTTCCTTGCACTCCTTGTCCCGATGAGTACACCAAATTAATATTACTTGTGTATTACCTTTCTCATCATACTGCAATATAAGCAGTTATTTATTTTATTCAAAGACACTTCTGAACTTTTAAAAACATTTGAGTTTGCATGAGAATAGGGCAGTCTATTTTGTTCATTACTTTACCTCTATTGCTATAGTTCTCAACTGTCTTGTATCCAATCCTCCCTTTAATAAAACACATTTTATAATGCCTTTTCTACTATACTGAAATGAAATTCATGAGAATATAGGCTATCTGTGTACACCTTTTAGGGAAAACAGTCAATATAATGTGTGACCCTAACTGTATTACAAAAAGAGAGATATGCATAAAATATAATTAATAGCACATTTATAGTAAATTATGTGACTACCCTAGAAGATATTTGTATAAATGAGTCAGATACTTGCCTCTACTTTTAATGAACAAGAGTGGATGTAAGCAAAATAACATGGTCACAAGCCATTCTGTGCAAAAATAGGAGCATGAGACTAGGAGTCTAGATGTGAACTAGAATAAAAACTAGTTCAGATATGTAATAATAGGCCATACTTATACATTATAAGAAAAAGAAGGGAATAACCTCTGTTCAAGTAAATATGCCAAGACAAATTGCAAAATTTATAGTACAGAAAATGAAGTGATACTTACAAGTATCATAGCTATCCACACCAATGAGCGTTCCTTATAGATAAGAGTAATACCAAAATATTTCCTATGTCCTAGGACAAGATAGCATCAAAATACCACAGATGAAAATTTCAAAGCATCGTGAGGTAAGCACTCCTCCATTACTTCAGAAAGTCCTCCATAGGCAATGGAAACTCAAGATTGGTTTGGAAAATAACTGTCACAAACTTCTTTCATAAAAACCAGGTGATGGACTTGGTAGGCAGTGAAAAAGATTTTTAAAAAAATCAATAAGTCATTCCCAAGTAAATAAATCATTATATAATTGTCACAACACACATTTTGTATGCTTGTGTCACAAATATTTTAAAAGGCAGCAATATGAAATATTTATAAAGCAAACTTTGTTGGTGAAATTCAATGAAATCCCTGTGCTTCTTGTTTTTCTTTTTATTTAATGATACTTATTTCAAAGAAATTTTGCATTTACAGGGCTACATATTTTTAATATGTTTGTGGCTTTTGTGGTAAAACTATAGCACTAACACTATTTTAAACTAAATTTTACAGTACCAAGAATAGGGGAGATGAACATAGTTAATTATTCAATGATTTTTGAGAGAATATATTTGTTCTATTTAATCTTTCCTGTGTAAATTATTAGGCTTATGGAGAGCGTCTCATAAAGCCTTTCAGTAGAATTATGCATTGAAGCACTATTGATTTAGATTTGGTATGGAGGGACAGTCAGAAGTCAAGTAGAATGTGGGAGAATTCTTTCAGTTTAAGAACTCTCTTGAATGCAGCAGATCACATACAGTTTACTATGTGTCAATCATCTGGACAACTGAATATTCACCCAGAAATTTTTCAGAACACTACATAGCAAGCAGAACCACTACGGTTGAGAACCAATGCTCTAATATATGTACTCTTAAGATATTTCACAGTTTAAGTCTATTCATTAATGTTAGTCTTTAAGATAGCATCTAAAAGAGTGAACACAGTTCTGAGAAGGACCTCGTTCCACTTGAACCCTCCTCACACTGATGGTTATCTAGCTGAACTTCAGACTAAACATGCCATTTCTTTTCTTTCATCTTCTTCCTTGTCATGCTTAGACACAGTGATATCTTTTTCTTTTTTTGACACGATGTGTGGGATTCCGAAACCAGGATCCTTTTCTATTTCTCCAGGTTTTTCTTCAAATATGCTTCACCATCTCTTCCGAATGCTGCCATACTAGCCTTCTCAGAAAGACCTTTTCACCTCAGGTCTTCTTTACCTCTGTCTCTGAGTATATTATCCCCTCAGTCCATCATCTTATTGGGGGGCTAATTCCAAGTTGTGCTTCACAGTTCAGCTTTTGGCTCAACTTCTCTGAAAATTCCTTTCTCTCTTAGGAAGCCAAATCTGAACCAAGTCTGATGATGGCACTAAATGCTACCAGCCTCTGCAGTTCCATATTGTGTAGCACACATTTCTTGACATAATTTCCCTAAGAATCAGAGATGATCTATATGACTATCTGGGTTCCACTATCTTGATCCCATAATCTGTCCCAGAACTTATAGATCTTTGTATTTCCAGCAATAATTTGTTTAATGCCATTTTGAATATTACATTTGTTAGGCTTTGCTGAATCTCAGACTGTATATGAGACTGATGCACTGCCCCCTGTGCCAAAAGGTCCACTATCTGACTGTATAAAGGACAAGAAACATTGGTTATTTAGGAATGGATAAAAAAGCATCTTAATACCACAGTTCACTTTTTTTTTTCTGGTGAAAAGGCACATTTAAATGGTAAGCTTGAGAGAAAACCTATTGTCTTATCCTGTTTTCTGTAGCTGTAACAAAATATTGGACACTGGGAACTTTATAAAGAAAAAGATTTATTTAGCCTGCAGTTTGGGAAGTTGAAAGTCCAAGATTGGGTGCCTCATCAGACTCTGGTGAGGCACCTGGTAGGGTAGCATTACAATGGTAGGAGTGGGTGGGAGCAAAAGCAATCACTTAGTGATATAGGAAATGAGACAGATTTAGGGGCCAGGCTTGCTCCTTTTATAACAATTTTCTCTCTCTGAAACTAAACAGGGTGTTAAGGTTTAGATCTAAAATGTTCCTCACATGTCTCATGTTTCTAAGGTGACTGGATCTTGGAGGTCTATAGCTGACTTGCTCTAGGAGATGGAGCCAGAATGAGTCACTGGGGATATAAACTGGAAGGGTTTATTCTGTTCCTGACTCCTTTTGTCTCCCTCTCTCTCTTTCCTTGCTGCCACTAGGTAAGCAACATTCTTCTGCCATGTCCTTTCATGATACTTTTCTGCATTGGAGCCAACTAATCATGGGCTGAATCCTCTGGAAACTGTGAGCCCAAATAAACCTTTCCTCCTCCTCCTCCTCCTCCTTCTTCTTTTTTTTTTGGTACTGGAGATCAAACTCAGGATCTTGCACTTGTGAGGCAGGCACAGCATCACTGAGCTAAATCCCTCCCCCAACCTCTCCTTCTTTAAGTTGTAGGTGTTGGATATATTTTTTCCCCAGCAATAGGAGAGTGATCAATACAGTGTCCTGGTGACAATTGCTTTAATCCCTTCTGACATTGGTACTCCCAGTGATGAAGTGTCCTCCACTAGTTCCCAACACTTTAAGGATCCACCACTTCAACAACTCCTCTCTAGAGCCAAGCTTCTAGCAATGAATTTTTTTGGGGCAAGCTCAAACTATATGCAAACTATGGCACCCGAACTTTTTATTTTTCAATCACTAAGCTAATGCTTTCTAGGGTTTCAGGCAAAAGACACCATAGGACACAGAAAAGTATGTACTGACACCTTTTGGGTAAATAAAGCTTGTTTTCATGTAGAAATTCATATCAGATATGAAAGTATATTTTTTGTATAGCATGTAATAGTCCATTAATAAACATATAACATGAGGTTAGTATACAAAGTTAAGAAAATATTGAGTCTAGAGCTCCCTTGTTTTCTCTGTTTTGAAAATGTGAAACCTTTACTCCATAGATATTTATTGAATGTCTGCTATGAGGGAAACACTGTTTTAGGAGCTGAGGTTATACTAATGACAGAGACAGATGATATCTTTAGTTGCAAGGATCTTTGGTGTATTGTGGGAAATATCCAATAGAAACATAGTGCAATTAGAAGTATACAATAGAAAGTTAAAGCATGTAGTGATGGAAAAAAATCATGCACAACTTGAGTAATTCAATCATGAGAATTTAAAGATTTAAAATTACATTTCTTTGTAATTCATATATTGTTTATATGCATTCATATTCTATATCTGTATTTTCAATACAATTATGATGGCTGGAGATACACTTATATGTACATATGCCCTAGCTCATATACTCAGTCTTCATTTTGTGAAGTGAATTAAAATAATTCATTACCATATAATTTATTAAATAAGCATCAAAATACTTCATGGTATAAAGATTGACAGAAGAAAACAATCATTTTAGATGTCTTATCTAAACTTGGCGTTTAGGATACAAATGGTTACAAATATTTTGCTGGGCTGGTGAAGATGTAGGTGCACTGGACCTGGTACTACAACTTAGAGTTTCCCTACGTAAAGATTTCACATTGGGATTTGACATTATGACAACTTAAAAGTATTTCTTCTTAATAGAAAAAAAAATGATCCAAACAGGAAAAGGGAAACCAAACCCAAACAAGTAGGCAGGCCAAACAATAGTTCTGCTATTGAATTAGCTTTTAGCAAATTATTAAATTTAATTTAACTGTTTTATTTTAAACTGACATATCCATCAGTCTGGTAAAATGTAATTTTTATTAAGCAGAAATAAGTCAAATGCTTTTATTTTTAGAGTTAATGAATTTTATGTCAAAGAAAGAAAATAAAGTAAGGATTTTTTTTCCTGAGATAAACTTTTTTTAGAATGACTTTCAACTTGAATTATTGATTTTCTTCTGCTTAGAGCAAACAAAAGACAATTAAGGAATGGGTACCAGAAAAAGGAGGTCATAAACACGACTAGTTTCCTAATAAAAAACTGGAGACGTTGGACATTAAATAATAATAAAATCTACATTTATACTTCACAGTAAATTAACATTTTTCATTAAACAATTATTGTACTACATCTATACACAGATGGAGCACAAACCTGATATTCTTTAGTGGGTCCTTATTCAGTGCACTCTAGGTGCCCTAAAATCTATGATCGCATTATGTCAGCATCTCAGTGATCAAAGTCAGCATGACTACCATAATCATTGGAGACATGCTCCCCAACTTCCCAACATAAGGGGAAACAGAAATACTCTTATAAGTTTGAATTGGTAAGGTGGCTATTTAGAAGCAGTTTTAGATTAAAGTTAGAAAAGAAAAGATACATTTTTTTCAAATACAAATTTAGCCAAGTATATTATGACTCTGCCTCCCCAGTGAAGGTAGATTTGGGTTGAAAGGAAAAGTCTTAAGGTTCTAAATAGTTTATTAGAGGAACTCATGCTTTCCAAGTTACTCAGCAGCCATGTGACACTAAAATCAGATTTATGTGCAATAACATTTGTTTACTTACAGAACTTTAAGACTGTAAAGGCCAGTGAATGCTCCCTTGGGAATGTATGTCAAAGCGTTTCCGGCAAGACGTCTGTGGGTTTCAATGGAGAGAAGAGACAGTAAGCATAGCTCTCTTCACATATCACATTTGGTTTTTTCATGCACTACTATTTTGTTCAAACCACAAATACCAAAAGCAACTGTAAAGAACCTTGTTTTCTTACATGTTGTGAAAAATTTCTATAAATTTCTAATCAAAATGTTGGCAGAAAGAATAGCTAAGGAGAAAGGCAATAAATTATCTACTTCATGCTAAATCATTATAGCTTACACTGCATACGTATATATGTGTACATGTATATTATCTTAACATTTTTTAAACCAACGTTAAACACTATATAGTAACTTAAAAAATTACAATGTCAAAATGTGACTGTTACTGATTACAGTGATTTTTTTTTTTTTTTTTTAGTATTTTTTGATGCTAGGGATCAAACTCAGGTCCTTGTGCTTATGAGGCAAGCGGCAGCACCACAGAACTAAATCCCTGGCCCTCTGCAATGATTCTTTATAAGTATGAGTAAAATAGTAAGAAAAATAAGAATATTTTGGTTGCAATTACATCACAACCGTACTTTCTTAGTAAACTTGTGAAATATTACACTATGAGGAAATATGTAGACTATCAAAATCATTGTTTCTAAGCCAGAAAAATGTAGAGAAGCTTAATTAATTTATTATTTTAATTAAGAAATGCCTTAAAATACAGAAGACAAAGTGTTTAAAATGGAAGACATTAACACTGGTTATTTAGTGAAATGTTTTAATATCATTATTGGTAACTTTTTAAAAGTTTGCTTTATAATATTTTTCTAACTGGAAAATAAGGTGAGAAAGTATGGAAAAAGATCAATAAAGCATGTAGCTCTAACATCTGGTGCAGTACTTATTCAAGTAGCCACATCAAAGCCACAACCCGAAATGTTAAATAGTCCAGAAAATCCAAGGTGACAGTGTTACTTCAGAATAAGGGAAAAGAAAAGATATGAGAAAATGAAAAAATGGAAATAAAATCTTTGTAAATGGGGAGGGGAGGAGGGGGTGAAGGGAGGGCAGGGACAAGGGGAAAAAATGAGAACCAAGACCTGTCATGTAAAGGTACACGATCCCAATGATGAATGTAACTGTACTGTAACCCTAAAAAGTACCAATAAACTCAGTAAGAGAAAAAAAAGAGCACAAAATCTTCTGGGAGCTAGTCATATTTTGGGATGGGCGGGTAGAAGTGAAAATCAAGGTGCTTCAGTCTTTCGTGGATGTAGTTGGGGGCAGGAGGAGAAGAGTATACTTTTTTCTTAAAGAACTTATTGGCCTCAAATGCATATTTTTGTTGTATCTTCAAAGGGGAGATAATTCAGTCAGTGAAGTCACTGCTTTGATGAATTCACCATACAACTTTACATACGAGTCCCACTGCCAGCTCACAGTCTAGTAATAGACTGTAAGTGAATATTTAAATAAATACTGCAATCACAAATAGGACTTCTGAATAGTGTTTTTATTAAAAGCACTATGTGCTTGATACAAATAATATATACCATAATTTTTATAATCCTACTTTTTAAAAATAGTTTAATTAAATAAGAAGGGACTTAGTCCCCCAAAGAGGCTCTTTTGACTTGTACCTGCAGAACTTACTTGTGCTGTTCAGTTAGTAATTTTTCTGTGTTTCATTTTTTTTTACGAATTATACATAATATAAAGGTGTTATGGCTTCTCAGGTCCATTCTAGCTCCAAAATTCCATGATTTCTCTGTTCTGCTCTGGTCATTTGTGTTTGCGCCTGTTTTTCTTTCCCTTAACTGATACAATCTTCTAGAAAACCAGGAGACCTCATATGCCATATTATTCCCCGCTTCTTCCTAGTGCCTAGCGAAGTGTTTTTCTAACAATAAACAAATTTAGAGGCTCCGTCTATAGTTAAGAATAAAAACATACAGCAGAAAAAAGAATGCCTTTTCTGAAGTATTGTTTTATACAACCTTTGTTTCTACATATATTTGGAAAAATGGACTGAGAGGAAGAAATTTGTTTCTTTTAGTACATGGTCAGAAAAGTCCAAGAGCCATGGCCTAACCATGCCAGGAATTCGAAAAATATGGTAATGCATGTTATTCAGTTTACTATTTGACCAAGGTGATTTCAGGGGTATTTTTTATTTTCTTTGAAGCTGTCTTACAAGAAAACACTGTGAGATTCCATCTGCTCTGTCCATACTCAGGGCTCTCCCTTTTCCTACTCACTCTGTGTTCACTGATGGTTGTTCACAGCCATCTCTGATCATATAATTCTCTGCTCCAAAACCCTCTGCCAATTCCCACACCAGGTGAAAAGAAATGAAAAGAAGTCTCCAGCCTCCTCTTTCACACCTCCTTTTATTTAGGAGCTAATCCAGACTATGAAGCTTGCTTTTCTTAGACATGTCCTCTACTTTCTCCAGCCCTTTACTTCACCTTAAACACTCTTTCCCCTTTCCCTTCCTGTCTTTCAAATCAAGGTTATTTCTAAACTTTCTGGTCTTTCTACCCTGAAGCCTTCTTTTAAAAGTTTATTACTACATAATGTTTACATTCCTCGTGGGAAGTTGGTACATATACCTAATACATCTTAGTTCCCTTTTCATCCCCTTTTCCTTCCCTTGCCCCTCTACCCTTAAGTTGTTTGATAGCATTTTGTGCCTGTATTGTGGCATAGTATGTGTCTTCTCTAGGACACATAAAACCTGGGGATTGTCTTTATATATATTATAGGGCCTTGAGTAGTGCCTGAAACATAGTAGCTTGCCTAAGTAGCACTCAACTAATCATTTAAGTAGAGACCACTAACTGTTACCCAGTATCCATTCCCTTTTTCAGAATAATTCAACCACCCAAAGTTTTAGCAGAGTACAGAGCCACTCAGTTACAGTCTCGTTTTCTAGGCTTCTTTTGCATTTAAACATGTTATATGACTATGTTTGACTTTGATCCAAAGTGCTGTGTGATGTTCTGTGCTGCCTCCTTAGAAGGAAAACTGTCCCAAATTTCCTTTATATCTCTTTTCCTGTAGAAGTGATACTGGTGAGACAGCATCAGTGATTTTGGTGTGGAGAATATTCCATGGAAGGAAAAGATGGGAAAGGCAAAAATGACAGAAGTAATCCGAGCTCCTGGGTGACTTTGCAGAGCTGAGCTGCCCCGTCCCGAAGTCTGTTTTGGATGAATAACTGAATCCACATGGATCCCTGTGTTATCTTCTGCAAACAAGTCTGTGATTGAAGGGTTACTTAGCTGGCAAGCCTGATTCACACCTGCTTAGATGCTGGCCTCAAGGAATCATGTTTGCAAAGCTGTTCCAATCTCAACATTTCACTGTCTTAGCTTTATTTCCCTTTCATCTTTGTGCTGTTAGCGTGCAATTGGCACACCTGAACTCTTACAGGCATTGCATGCTGTTGTTCTCCTAACAGTCACTCTACTTAGGGAAAGAATGTCCTTTGTCATTCTTTCATGCTATCTTTTATATCCAACAAACATTTATTGGGGGCCTTCTCTGCTTAGGTGTTGGTGTTACAACAGAGACTACTGGACTGATAAAACCCCTGACATCATAAAATTTCCATTCTCATGGAGAGATATAGTCATCAAATTAAAAGATAAGTGAATAATATAACACGAAAAGCGCTCTGAAGAAAGATAAAACCAAGACAAAGGAATAGGGAGCAATGGGTGGTTGTTGTGGAGAGTGATTTAGATAAGATGGTCAGGGAAACCTGTCTGCTGAGAGGGCATTTCAGCAGAGGTCTGAGCCACGCAGGTTGGAACAAAAGCAGGATAGTAAAGAGTCTGTGAGGGAATGTGCCTTGTGTGGTCTAGAAGCTTCACAGAAGGCAGCAAGGCTGGAAAGGAATGGCCAAGGAGGAGCCTGACCGGGGGAGGTCAGAGAGGTATAGAGGGCCTCTCCACACAGGACTTGGAGGCTCAGTGTGGACTTTGAGCTGGAGAGCAATGTATGCCAATGTATTTTTTAAGGATGCTTCTGAGGGGCCCTTTTGAAGAGAAGAATGGACCATGACGAGCAGATGACATTGGAGTCTTCAGACATGAGATCCTGCTGTAGTGTAACAGTGGTGGAGGTGGAAAGGAATGCTATTGTTTGGTGTAGAAGAAAATCTAACCTGATATACCACTGGGGTCAAGGTGGCATGTATGCAGTTTTTAAAGAAACGACACTTTATATTCTGTGCAACCCATGTGCATTTGATTAGTTATCCAAAGTACTACATGTAAATAATGAAGTAAATGAATTGTGTATGACACACAAGAGTAATCCCAGCACTCGGGAGGCTGAGGCAGGAGGATCGCCTTGGGCTCGAGACCAGCCTGGGCTACATAGTGAGTTCCAGGTGAGTCTCAACAACCGCCCTCCCCACAAAAAAAAGAAAAAGAAAAAGAAAAAAAAAAGGTAGCTTATTGAATTAAGACACACTCAGGTTTGGTTGGCTATGACACATAGCTTCATTGATCAGCCTAAACTGATCAGTAACTGTTATTTCAATCAAAATGTCCCTAAATATCCTGTTCACAGTCGTATCTTCAACAGCCTTCAAGTAAGTGCTCATCAGTTCCTACTGCTCCTATCCTGTCATCCGGTGGCTTCATGCTTTTGGGGATACTGACTTCGAAAATAAAAAAAGAGAAAATAAAGCATTTTCTTTTCAGTCATTTAAACTATTGCTCAATATTCTTCTATTATATTTCCTGAAATTCATTTCTCAGAAATTGTTTTTCTTTTCTGGGTAGGGATGTTCAGTGTCCCTGAGTTAGTCTTCAGAAGGAATCTGTGGAACCACTGACCTTTGTTATCAGGGGCTCTGTGTTTTTGTTTTTTTTTTTGGTACCGTGGATTGAACTTGGGACCTTGTGCTTGCAAGGCAGGTGGCGGAACCACTGAGCTAAATCCCTGGCCCGGGGCTCTGTGTCTTAAAGAACAGAATTTACGATGTGCTATTAGGTGTTTGCTCGGCTGGTAGTACATCTGTTTCACTGACAA